CCAGCTACAGCTTTCACCTCGGCTCAGTCGAGCCGGGGCATATGCCTTCAGCTGGACTGATCCGATCGGCCAACTGCGGGAGCTGTACGGGCTATAGTGGATAGCCCGTACAGCAGCACTTCGGTTCTACAGAACCTAAGGGGACCTGGGGCTGAAGGATCAGCTGAAGCTACGGCTAGATCCTTCGGCAGCTTAGTGAATAGACCCCTATGTCTAATAGAAGCAGCTATTAGGAATCAGAATCTGGGCATTGCACTATAAACTAGCAAGACACTTAAAAAGTGGAACTGTTTTTAAAAGCCAAACTGCATTACTTATCAGTGTCAGGATTATCACTATAAGCTATCCTTCTGAGTTAAAAAAACAAACAACTTTGTTGTAATTAAAATGCTTTTCCTAGCTTCCACCTTTGGCAGCCTAAATTACTTGGTCTCTGGCTACCAATAAATCCTGAGTGTGATGTTTTGAATATGCAGTGAAATAGGAACAGCACAAAGGCTGCCCCTATGTACAATACATCGATAATTGCAAATAATAAATTAACACGTTCTGAAAAGATTTTTTACCATAAAGTGTCATTTTTCACATGTATTTTGAATAAACATTAGAAAGATTACAATGCTCTTTTAAAATAGGGCCAGAATACACCATAATCCATCTTTAAGAAGAAGATAAAAATCAGGCTCCAGCTGACATTTCAATAGGAAACAATAATACAATAATACTATAGAGTATCAGTTCTTTAAAGCAATGTCTATAAGCTGTGTACAATAGTTACATGGCAACCAATCAGCTTCTCTTTTTTATTTTTCAAATCCTAACTGAACAAACTGAAGAGAGAAGCTGATTGGTTGCCATGCACAACTGCTCCAGATTTTGTCTGCTCCAGTTTTGATAAATTCCCCCCATAGTGTTTTTGTGATGATGTTGGGGACAAAATTTATTTTTAGAATTATTTCTTTATAGTTAGATGAAGGTTTTATACCCCCACAATGAACGAATGAGCATGTAGTGTTGGGCTTGCGTATTAGAAAGCCAAGCATGCTCTGCTACCTATGTTATGAACACACCCCTCATTAAATGTAAATTTGTAAATAAAGATTTTTTACAATGGAAAAATTATATAAACAACCAGTTTTTAAGTCTGTATAAAATCAGATAAAAGAAATAGGATAAAACTGACCAAAATTATAAAAGGTTATACTTAAACAAGGTTGTTGCCAATTATCGTCTGTGTCTGACAAATAGGTGTCTTTGTGTAAAATTAAACTCAGTGCAATTAGCAAATTATGCCTTTGAATCTCATTAATGATTTCAATGGTGAAAAAAACAACTCTGTCTCAAACCTTTGATTTGACAAACAAGTAAACAGAGCAATTTTCTGATTACTAAATTGGCCAAGTGGGCTGTAAAGAAAATCGATGCCCTGTTTAACCTTATAAACCATGTTTCTCAATAGAAATATGTATCACACTATAACTCAGCTAATATGTTGTGTTAAAATGGCAGTATCATTTAAAGACTTAGTTCAGATAAGCTGCATTTACTGCTTTAAACAAAGGGGTTTAATAAGGACTTCTAAAAACTAATTTTTAGGACTATACTGCTCATATTAAAAGGTGAGTTCCAACCAAGATATACACATGTGTTAACTGCTTCAATGTGCAGCAGATAACAAATTAACCATATGGCCCTCACCAAAACTTTAGGTCTTTAAAAATGTACCTTTGCTTTTGTTATAAAATTATATAACATATAGAATTTCTACACAAGCCACATAGTAATTTAATGTTATCAAAGACTTGACTTTATGTTTTATTCTGCAGAAATAGCAGTTGTTTCCTAAAAAATGAGTGGAGTTGTTATTATTATTATTATTATACAGGATTTATATAGCGCCAACAGTTTACGCAGCACTTTACAATAGTTACACATTAACCTTTACATCTTTTCTTGGGAATTCAAAAGGGCACATAGACCATAAACTAGTTATCAATGTAGCCTTAGAAAGCTCTTCTTTTTTTTTAACCCCATGTAATGTTAGCAATACAGAGATGTCAGTTTTAGTCTACTGTGCATCACAATCACCATCATCATTATCTAATCCTAAAGAAATTGTAAATGTCAAACATCAGATGTCTAATGGCTACCATTATCTTCTCTGTTAGAAACAGGCAATCTTAAAACATGGTTATAGAGTTTTTGTGTTTTAGATATACATGTGGAAAGGATCCGCTTCATGTAGATTTGTTTATCTGCTGCTGTTAAAGAAAAATGCTTAAGAGGATGATGAGTTGCACTTTTGAGTGCTGCGATGCTGAGCACTGCACACTTTACAGAGCCAGGCTGCTGACATAACGATGTGCACAGGGGACAGCTGACTCCATATTACTCTTGGCACTTTCTTTACCTGATCTCAGTGGCTGTATTAAGCATGGCTGAGGCCTAATTCACACATTTTTTCCCAAAGAGGCACCACTAATGAGAAACCTTTTACAGTGACGTGTTACTCTTTGCTGTATTGTAATGGCTTCATTGCTAATACCCCCTAGAAAAAAAAAAATGCTTAAAATGAACTTGTGTCTAGATCATGAGTACTAAAGTATTTACATATTCTGAACTAGCAAGAAAAGCACGTTAAAACAAACCCTCATTGATCTCTGTATCTATAAACATTGTGAATTTATTTTCAAAGTTCCCAATGCAGGCTAGGAAACCTTAGCTTCTTACTGTGAAAAACAGATGCTGGCACCCTCTGATGTAAACTCACAGCATCAGTTTTAAAGCGTTTAGAAACCAACACCTACTTTACAGTCTTTGTTGTGATCTTTGAGAATTATTAACTTCACATTAAGCACAGCTATAAAGGTCATTGTTGGTTTGTTAAGAATATGTAAATAATTTAATGTCCATAGTCTTGGGAGTACCTTGGAACCACAGAATTTACCTCGAGTCCAAGGTAGCTCTCACAATTCAAATTATAGGTAAATTGACATCGGCCCAAACTGACCTTGGTGTGTGCATGTGTGTCTGAATACATATATTACATATAACAATAAGAACCTTAGGATTTAAACCTAATCAGGTTAAGGACTTGTGAATAGTTTAAATAATGCAATAATATATATTATGAAATGTATTATTTTTGTATCGGTTATGGTGAACTCATTTTTCACACCTTTAGAACAGTGCACATAGGGCCTTGTTTGTCTGCATGTACAATGTACCATCAATGTGCCTGCAAACCAAGTATTTAACATTTGCATGTTCTGTATGAAAAAAGTGAGTTGTTCACTATCCTGTACACTTTTGAATTCTTACTGTATACAACAAAATAATTGAAATATCATGCATGAGGGAAGTGAGAATAAAAATACTATTGAACTGTAACACAGCACCACCATTATTTAGAAATGCTTACTTTCTGCATCACACTAGGCATAGATTTACTGAGCTGTACTGTGTAGGGGACATGTTCATTGGAATGCAGTTAAAGTGTAAACACATTTTTGCTGTAACAATTGTCATTCAAGTTTAAAGTCGTCAGTGTTTTCTTAAGCATTTTTTCTAAATTAATTCTTGGATGAAAACCTATATGAAAAAAGTGCTTTATGTAAAATAGTTTTATCATTATAGAATGTATTTTTACAGTTTATTACTGTTACAATACTTTGGATTACTAGCAGAAATGTATATGCATTGCTTTCAAAAATGGAAAAAAAGCCCCCATAACATTTGGCATAGCAGGCACCAATTTCTGCTTAATATAACCATGTCACAAATATATACTGAAAAAATGAACAAGCAGAAATTTCCATGTCAAAACAATGAGTAGATGCAGTGTTATAGGCAGATGCAATTAAATTCATGTTCACTGCAGCAACTGATTATGGTCTTGCCTTCCCTGCCATCCTTTTAGACAGTATGATTACTCTTTACTAGGGTAACAGAAATTCTTGGAGGATACGAAGGGGTGGGGTTAAAAGTGCATAAAATGTTATCTGCCTTAATCTCCGACTTTGCAACGGTTGCTAAATGTGATATGTGGTTTTCACTTAAAGAGGAACTTTACCCAAATCTTTGAAATGACAACATAAGCACCTTTAGAAATGTTCAGTAATGGCAATCTATAAACAGATACATATAGATAATTGCAGGCTTTTTATTATTTGCATATCTTATTTTTCTTTACCTGCCCAATTTCCTCACAGTGGCCGTTTTTACTAAGGTCAGATAATTTCCTCACAGTGGTGTTTTTACTAAGGGCAGATGAATCCATCTCCCTTTACATCCTGGAACTCTGGCACATGTGACTAGGACATGTCATCATGCCAGGGAGGAAAATGCCTTTCCTAGAGATCTGGTGAGATTACAGATGAGATTCCCCAGCAATGCACAGCTGATGTAACCTTCCCAGGATGCAATGCTTGGGCACAGATTACATCACTAATGCCCAAGATTACCAGGAAGTGGAGAAACAATTGCAAGTAAAAGAAAAATAGTTTGTTTAACTAATGAATGTAAGATGATTTCATATCAGCATGGAGAGCTGCATGCTGATGTGATTTTTAGTGAAAGGGGGTAAAGCTCCACTTTAAGGTAACATCTGCCTGTGAATTTTTCCTCATATGCTGCAACTTGAATTGTCCAGGTTAATTTTTAACTTCCTTTATTGATTAAATTATGTATTAATGAATTAATCATAAAGTATTCAGTGCTGAAATATACTTGTTTATAATTTCCAAATGGAAGCTGGAATCTATAAGAACATGTACTGCAGGTCAATGGATTATATATAAATGTCCTCTCTAGTATTTCCATGGCATATTCTCCTACGAGACAGGCCTGTAGATTAATTTTTAGTATCACTAAGTAAAACCCACATTAAGCATGTGGCTAACCAGTGGTACGTCCCAATATTTTGGAAACACTGAGATGGTTCTCTATAATTACTGTTGCATTGAGTGTATTTTACTTACCTGTTGTTTGTGTCTTTATAGGTGTTCTGGAATGGCCATTTTGGACAAAACTGGTGGTTGTGGCTATTGGATTTACAGGGGGTTTGGTATTTATGTATGTGCAGTGTAAAGTCTACATCCAGTTGTGGAGAAGACTAAAGGCTTACAATCGTGTAATATTTGTCCAGAACTGTCCTGACACTGCCAGGAAAACCGAAACAAAGACCTACACCAGTAATCAGAACAATGAACCTAAGGACTCTGTGTGTGTCCCAGTTTCACAGACTTCTACAAATCTACAGTCATGTTCTGATGTAAGTGTACCTGGAGTAATGCCTGTTTGATGAGCGTAGCACTTTTCTTTACTATAACTGTACCTCTCTATCAGATTTGCTGTGTTTGTGAGGAACAGCAGCCGAACTATGGGAAGGTAGTAATCTTTTCCCTCAAGGTATACAGCTGTGACACAGAACTGAAAATTAGAGTGCTGCCTTGATAAAATTGTCAGTGATTTTATAGTAAAAGCACTAGCAGAGAACATAGAGGAGACCATAGTAAAGAAGGATAATAAAAACACTGCATTTTTGTATGTCCACAAGGAGGAAAGTAAACTGATTTTATTAGTTGTGGGGGAACTTTCTTTTTTAGTCTTGTTATTTGTTACTGTGTGAATGAGTTGAATATTTTCTATTGAACAAAATGATGTCAAGAAGGCACAAATGGGAATTAAGAGGGCACATTCTGTGAAGTACCACTGCTAGTATATTGTTTTAATGCATAGTATTAAAGTCCTTTTACAGTTATTAAATTCAGAATTTTTGACCACTGAGATTCAGTGTCAACTTAAAAGAGCACTTCAGATTTGCACAATAATAATAAGAAGCCAAGATTGGATACAGCAGGATCAAAAGAAAAAGGTGAAGAGAAAATGTGGTTTGTCAAGGCAGCATTAGGAGCCAAGGATGTGAAAAAAGATTTAAAAGTTGTTGCCAGTAACCAATATTATGTAGGGAAAAACGTGGAAAAAGGGAAGATGTAACTGTAAGGAATACATGTTAACATATATATGGAAAGCATTTTCAAAAAGAGCTGATAATTCTAGAAAAGGGATGTTATGTAAGGTCTAAACGTGTTATTTTAAACATCAGACTTAGTAAAGCAGGGAATGTAGACCTTTTTTCCACACAGTATTGCGTTGTATATCTTATTGTATTTGAAATAAAACCAAAGCAGGTTGTTCAAGCACTGGATTTACTTGTTTGTATGTTTCTCTATTTATTATGGAAACCTAAACTAGAGAAAAAAACATTATGGCTTCTATTACTGACTTCTCCTTTTAAAAATGTTAGTCACCTTGCTGTCATGCTAACAGGCTTCGGCACTTTCTGAGTCACTGAGTTTGAATGAGTATGCAGACTAGGGGTTCTGCCTTTATGTTGACTTCACCAGCTGTATATTTGTTCTGGGGCAGTGACTCAGAGTGTCAGAGACAGCTGGGTGACCGGTATGTTCAGATGGAGGTCAGAAATTACATACTTTATATTACTTTCAATACAGGTTTGCTTTAAAGTCTATTTTGGGGCAAAATGTATGGCTCCTCAGCTGGTATTTGACACAAAAAGCTGCTCTGGCTGCAATACCCCTATCCTCCCCGATGCTGTCCCCTGCAGTAAATCCTTTCCACCACTAGATGTCCTCAGACTTCCAGGTTCAACCCAGAAAAGAACAATGTGTTATGGCCTGTCCCCATGAGGTGGTGTCATCACAGTATCCTGCACTCACATACATGATGAGGATACACGATAAAGCCTGAAGTTTGGCTTTAAACGAAAACTTAAGTTGGACTTTAAGTGTTAACTTTAAGATAGCCACTGCTATTTGGCTACCAAATGCACCTTTTCACTTACAAAACACTATCTTGGACCAACATATTACAACAAACATTGGCTGAAATTAGATAATCTACAATCCAATGGGTGGAAAAAACAAAATCACATGTTTTTTCATCTACAATCCAATAAGTGGGAAAAATTGAATTAATTTTTTTCATCAAATTAGTTTTGAAGAATTTACTAAATTAACTTCTCCAGGAAAGAAATTGCCATCAGGGAATTGAAAAGCCAATACAATTGGGTTGATTTATGAAAGGCAAATGAACTGTTCACTTAGCTTAGTGAATGAGCTTCCTAGCATCATCTAATCATGTGCAAGCAAAAAAAAAGAAATTATTTCCTTTTACAAGATGGGGTATTCTTTGCAAAATGAATTTTCACCACATTCACTAGGCTAAGGCAAAATTCCCTTGCAAAGTAACAGTTCTCTTGCAAAGTAAACAGCCTGTTTGCCTTTAGTAAATCAATCCCACTTTCTTGATTTCTGTCAAAAGCAAATCTAAGAACGATTTGGGGAACATTATATGATGAAAACATAGAAGTGTTATTGACATTTAATTATCAGTGCAATATTCAAACCTGGTCAATTTTCAAAGTAAAAACATTGTCCTCTTTGTCCATGACACAATCACGTGCACACTAGAGCCAAGTAACTATGAGAATGCTTTTGGATTGAGCAAATACACCAGAGCACTCAAGGGAAACCCTTCAAAAAGGCAGGTTAAGCATATAAATTCTATAGAGACTGGCACCTGTTGATAAAACCCCAGAAATCCTTTGTTGCAAGACTAACCTTCTGATGTGGGTGCATTTAACTTAAATAAAGTGAAGTGTTTTCCCTTGTTTGCATTAGATTGACAAGAAAATATTGCAAAAACAGGAAGTTAAGGGTTAAACTATTTCTGGAAATTATTTGTGCTGATACTAAAGAGCAACCATCTGCTACATGCATATGAAATATATGTAGGTCTCCCATGTGCCTAGGCTTCCGCTGAAAAGTCTTGTCTGTTTCCTTTAATGTAATAAACAAACATGACCATGTAATTTAGTGTCCTAGTTAAATGATGGGAGCAAAATCTTCTTTATAATTAGCTTGGACTACATTGTATACAGTTTATGGTAGGTCATGGAAGATGTTGTATGTAGACCATTTACATTAATGTTAAAGTGCTTATCCTTCTTTTTAGACAATTAATGGTACTGTATAAAGTGTGGTCCTAGCTTGTGGAAAGAGATAACATATGATGCAATGTGTGTTTTATGTCAACTGTGTGTATAGGATACTGTTGTGTTTGAGGTGGACCGAAATTTAAATGAATATTATACTGTATATCCCTATATGATTGGGAACATATAGAAATGCGAATGGTGCCTATGCAAAAGCCTTCTAATCCTCCTAAAAATCAGCTTTGTACTTTCTGTGCCTAGGCATCCCTGGGCCTACAGTCTCATAGCTATATCTGCAGTGTGAAGGCCTGTGCTTCTGACTGCTAAGCTCATGAAATTTAAAGTGTGGTTTGGTGATGTCACTACTGTGCTGCTCACTGTTCTATTTGCTGGAAATTAAGCTGTACCTGAAGATCTGCAATGCAGTGCAATGATCTCCCTGCTTTGCCCAAATTAGTAAGCAGATACACTATTTAGCAGGCCAGGACCTGAACTGAAGCCACTGCAGATAATCCCACCCACTCTCTTATGACACCACTCAGCCCCTCAGAAACCTTAGAACTCTTAATCTGCTACAGTTTTCCACAGATGTTCACCCTCTCCTCTCACCAATCTCTAATTCCACCTGCCCCACCACAGCCAATACCCTTTATAACTATGCCCTATTTACCACTTTAGATAAACTATCCCCTATCACATCCAATCCTGTCCGTCAACCTAAGTGCCAACCCTGGCATACTAACTCCACCCATTACCACCAAAGGTGCTCTAGGGTTGTTGAACGGTGTTTGATGAAGTCAAACACTACTTCTGACTTCCTACACTAAAAATTCATGCTATGCTCCTACAGTCCTGCTCTGTCCCTAGACAAGCAAATATTCTTTACCTCCCTTATCTCCACCTTCTCTCAAGTGCCTATTTCAAACCTTTAATTCACTAATGTGTC